GCAGCGGTTTCTTTACAAGGATAAAGGGTTCAGCAAAATATGAGCTAAAAGCTTCTGCTATAGCAACCGGTGGATCAATACATTCGCCTTCAAGTGTGATGACATGGGAACGTAGGTCAGTTTTGCCGCTTCTCCTTTTGTACACTAATGTAGTCAAGTGTCAATGTGTATTACTACTAGTATTCATTGATACATTTAATAGGGTATTTTAAAAGTTAAATCCCTTATCGACACCATGCAACGTAGGCCCACTAGTTAAAAGAGGTGCTTAATACATCAATAGGAAGTCCATATGAGATGAATGGAATAGGGAGTTTGCAAATTTTGATCACCGATGCTTGCTTAGTATTCCTCATGTCTGTGCAACACTGAGGTTCTTCAGTTGATGTCTGATGACATACCCTCCGGCGCCTTCTCTGAATGCCTGCTCAACGCAAACACCTTCGGTCCCGTACTCCACATACCAGTGAGTGGACTGTTGCAGCGAACATTGTTTCCCGTCACTGCGCCTAGTTGAATGAACATCTAAGGCAGTGGTTCTCAACCTTTTCGAGGCCGTTACCCACAAAGCGGGTTCACTATAAACAGTTGTCCCCCAAACTTGCGAAATCCAAGTACCTAATAACTATTGCCATTTTGCTTTAAAGTACGGAACATTAATACCATATGTGCTTACTTTCGATCATGCAACTAAAGAAAATCTCCATTTTTAGGTAAGGTAGCATTAAAGCAAGAGGTGATGAATTAACAGTTTCTGGCATATTTGGTGCGGTTTCCGCTGAAACACATCGCGTCGTGCAATGGTGCTCAATGATTCTGAGAACAAGCATTTCTTGGTAGCCTTCACCTTTCATGCACTGAAAATAAACAACTAGTTCGGAACAGGATGTAACCTCAGTCCGCTCATTTGAATGTATTGCACAGAAAAGACATGATTTTCTGTCATTAAGTACCGCATCCAGACTATCCTTGCTCATGACCCGGATGCGACTGTGAGGGTGCTGTTAGAAAAGGATATCGCACTCATATTTCCGCATGTTGCTATACACCAACGGTTCTTTAACCTTTTTATGCTGTTATTCATAAACCGGGTTCATTATAATCAACCCCAAATTTCCGGTTCAAACGCTAAAAAATAACAGACTCAAGAACGACACGGTAGGGGAGAACGCTGTTTATTGCACGCTGAGAGGTTCACACACATGTCCCACACACACACACACACACACACACACACACACACACACACACACACACAAATATAGCCGCGTTTCCCACTTACGACGCACCACGTTCCGCCGAGTGAAGTGGTGTCCACTAGGCGCCATTAGGCTGATCGGACGTGGACATTGAATGTGCCGTTTTCCGCCAACATTTCTGCTCCCTTGCGTCGCAGCCTATCCAGACTGGATTCGTACCAAAGCTCTCGACTTGCTTGCTCGGGGCTGTGTTGCTCTGGTCAGGCCGATTCCTGGGGCCGCAGATAAAGGCATATCTCTTGGGAAAATCGGGCTTCCTTTCATGTCGCCTCTTGTTCTTCTCGGCGTGGCCGCGGTATCGTTTGTCGCTGACGACCCATTCCCGGCTTGCATCGTAGGCCACGAGCTGGGTTGACGATTCCCGTTCCTAGTCTCCGCATTAGTCCCGATCTCCTGCTGCTTCCGGGGCATTTCCGTGTGAACTGAGATCCGCGCCCCTACAATAAATCGGGTTCATTATAATCAACCCCAAATTTCCGGTTCAAACGCTCACAAATAACAGACGCAGTTTTTTGCTTATAATTACGGAAAGTGAAAGCCATTTGGAATTACTCTCGATTAATAAAATAAAGAACACAGTTATTTTTGTGAAACATTGTATACAATCAAGAGACCATTTCCATCAATGGGACGGTTGAGATTGCTTAGCAAAACAATTTCTTGTATATTTGGTGCAGTTTCGGCCAATGCACATGGTAAGTGCTACAAGTTCGTGCGATACCTTGTTTTTGTCTTCATTGTCACCGTTATCGAAAATCCACTCTTACATCTACATGTTGTTGCGAATGGGATCAATATTCTCGATGCTGTTTCCGATAGCAATTGATACTCACCATCTATCATTAGGCAAAATGCTACCAGTTGTGTGCTTTGGAAATCTGTTTTCAATTCGCTATCTTCGAGCATTGTTAGGAACTCTGTTTTTATTATGATTTCCGTATCTGAAAACATATCCTCATCCACTGAAAAGGGTCTTAGCACCCAGGCATTTACTTGGTGGTTTTCCAGATCAGGAACATATTTGCCGATATAATGCACCAATGTTGACAACTGGCAGGTTATATCAGGTGAGAATGTGCATATTGCAATTCTTCCAACGAGCACCACTGTTAGTTCTGGAACTATCAACACGTCGTCAACCGTAGCACTGTGTTGGTAAAACTGCAATTTGCGAAGAAAACTGGTAACATTATCCTGAGCAGTTAAAATATTAAACATATTTCTTGCAATCTAAGATACGGCGCATTTATTTCTCCGAAGAAATCCGTAAAATATGCTACTTCGAAATAAATACGTCTGTTCCCATGACGTTTAACCCGTTTCGTTTATCTTTATGCAGAGCCTTCCTTACAAACAACATTGCAATTTCTTCTGGAAGCTTGAGCACCTAGTGCAACACCCTGCCTCGTGATAAGCAATGCACTTCTGTGTGCAATAACAGCATGTCTAATTTGCTTACAAATTCATTGCCCAACTCTTTGAAAACTCTTGTATAGATTGCACTACCGCGGATGACATTTATTATTTTCATTACCTTGGTTAACGCGCTCCACAAAGCAGGTGGAAGAGCTTTCACTGCTAAAGCCTTACGATGTATTATACAGTGGCTAAAGATAGCGTGCGGAGCACATTTTTTGACTTATGTTTAGAATCCAGAATGGATTCCCAATGTGGATGATGTTCCGTCTGTATAGACCTCCACAAACTTCGAGCATTGTAGATCCTTTTACCTGACGAAATCCTACAATGTTTGAAAGACATCTTCAAAATCTGTAATTGTGCTCAATGATTCTGAGAACAAGTACTCTTCTTTGAAGTCGTCGCCTTTTATGTACCGAACATAGACAATTAGCTGAGAACAAGATACGACGTCGGTCGACTCACTTAACTGTATTGCGTAGAAAGGACTTGACTTTAGTTCGTTAAACACCTTGTTCAAAATATTCTTGTTCATATCCTCGATACGACTTCTGACGAAGTTGTTAGAAAGTCATATCATACCTATGTTTTCCACATGTTGCTCTCCATAAACGAGATTCACGTAATCCATTATGCAAGGTTAGAAAGATCTCCTACAGCATGAGGTTTCTTGTTTTCGGCGATTCGAAGAGCATTGTGGTACGCAGTTTTAAGACCAGGTTCAGTTGACTGAAAATAGGAGCTCGATGTATCCAACGCGGGATTTTTAGCACAAGTTCTTTTATTTTGAAACATGTAATATCTTTTCATACTAACTGAGAATGACTTCGCTTGAAGTGCTTTTCAATTTGCTGGGGTTCATGCTGTCCGCCGTGAGCACATTTCTGCACACAGCACATTGAGGCTTCTCAACATTTGATCGACAAAATTGGTGGAGCCCCATTGCAGAAAAACATCTTAGTGGGATCTTTTTGTTCAGAAGACATGGTCCCGGCAAAACTTAAGACAGCTAGGATATATATATATATATATCCATATTCGTGATTTAGTGTGGGTGCCATTGTTATACAGGTTTATAGATAAACTCAATACTATCCATACCTAAAGAATACTCGCCCGTTTTGACCCTTCTAACTTGTAAACAATTGCGCGCTACTTTACTTAGTCGTTTGACCAATGCTCCAGTAGTAGTTGGCAACCGACTCTATAATTCGACCCGGCGAACGACTGCCTGACTCAAAAGAATAGCACTAGATGCGGGAGTCGATAGAGGCGTCATCTATTTGCAATGACTAATGACTGGTCAATTATGGTCAATCAAAGGTGCATAGGTAGTTAGCGACATGGTTTGATACAGATGATTTTGTTATTAAGCTTGTTCCGCACCTGATTGATGATCCAATCCTTGTACTAATATTTATCCTCGTTAAATACCATCTTACCCCTTTGGGGGTAATTACCACCAGATTGGAAACCCCTGGTCTAAGGTGACTAGGCATCACTAATGCAGAAGAATGTGTAGCAATTCACCAGGAGACTGAGTCGGATTGGTGTTTCTCGTATTTCTGGAGATAAACTTCGGGATCGACCGCCTCATTGGTGACATTCTGACGGGCATTTCACGTTCAGAAAGCTAACGGCGCTGTTGGATTTGTTCCCTTATTTCCGGCCGTTAATCACTCCATCTAACAATTTAACTTTTACTTGATTGTTTTTACATTGCTATTATTGTCACTGTCCTTATACTCATTAGACGACGCTGATCAGCACAGTCTAGTCCAGTGCACCTGAATGATTTCAGTTGATGAATTGGATCGGAAGGGCTCAACCTCGATGGACTTCATCAGTATCAAGATGACTCTCCGTAGTTATACTTAGATAGACAGCCATCAGAAGGAAAATCACTATAACCACCACTTCTTTCTTAGGAGCTTACCGTTAGCAAATATTCCCATGGAGCTAAATTTGTTATAACGTAGCAGTTAGCACACCGACGCTCTAAACCTCAACTCAGCCAACCACATGAGTAATTCTGATAGAGTGCGACCTCACCTCTTATGGGTCAAACAGCAATTCGAAGAGCTGATGTGTCGAAAGCAGCAAAGCAGTTACGCCTGAACTTTCGGCCACGTGCCACGAATCTGACCCATCGTGATGGCATTGATTCCCCTCTGTTTGCTGCTAAAATCGTACGCATACACTTTGCTTAAAAGCGTTAGCTGTATGAGTTACAACTTATTTCTACACAGACTCTACTAACCTTGCATTTATCAATTCATCAAAAGCCGCGTCTCAGATATTACCACTCCAATTCCGTTGCAGCCTTATGTCCAGAAAACTATCGGGTAAAGCTTGCTGATTTTGGATTCAGTAAACTAACGGCGAAACCCGACGTACCTCTTACCACCTTTTGTGGCTCACCGGCGTACGCAGCACCAGAACTTTTTGAGGCTAAAGAGTGAGTAGCATGCGTTGTTGTTTTCCGTGTAATCCATTGGAAGTTCATATTTCGGTGACCAAGAAAAGTAACACCGGGCCAATGCATAACAATCACATTACCCACACGAAACCCCGTTCCTCAAGACGCTTTTGATTATCATGATAAAATCAGCGTGTATGGATTCGCTAGTCGATCCAGTTGTTGTAGAGTATATCTGTTTTCCAGGTATGTGCTAGTCCGCAACAGTAACGTTTTGGCTAATGCCGCCTCGGTGGGTTAAACGTAAGGATTTCGGCTAGCATTCCAATGGCCCCGGGTTCCAGTGCCTGTTGCCTCGTCCTGATGAGGTCGAACAAGTTCGAGCTCGGTCGTGGGGTGCAGTTTTCAGGCTGGCAACATCCAATATCCAGCTGCTTCATCAGTCTGTGCCTACTTACTGCCATGTAATCACTTGCTATCAGGTGACTGTGCATCATTAGCGCATTCAAAACATGCATGAATTTGCGACAAAACTTCACTGCGTAAGCCGAACTAGTACTTAGCGTGGCACACGTCGCTACTTCACTGCTTGTTGCCATGTGGAGTATATAATCCAGTGAAAAAACGTGTAAGTAAGCGAGTTTGTTCGAATTCCACTCAAAAGAAGTTTCTGCCTTCCGTTACCCAACCTGGCCGTATTTCGAATTAGTCACTATAATATCCAACTGGGTGGATATTAAAAAGCGAGCTGGTTGGGTCGATTATTGGTAAGTATCCTAGCTCCTTTGCAACAGTATCTGATGACAGCTCCTCACTGAGGGACGCGGTGTACTCCGGGAGTCAACCCTACATCCACATGTTTTAGACACCAACGGCAGTGGAGGATGAGGGACACGTTATCTGTAAGTCCGTCGTATGATCAGGACGATTGCTGCTCACTTTGCGTGCCTCGGTTTTCGTAGCTGTTGCACCCCAGGTGAGGATTTGCTGGTTCTATCTATTCACCAGGTAAATGACAATTCCTGTTAGCAACGAATTCCGAACCAGCGAAAAGGGTGACGAGTGAGTTTCCGGATGTATATTGACCGGATGTTTGAGCGCAGCTGTGACAAATTTCCTTCGATTCACTGAGTAGCACAATAAACCGCCGGAGATTGTATTTGCAATGGGTGCTACTTTATGAGTCAGGTTAAGAGAATTTGCACTTTGCGCACGCTGAACTTTTCCAAATAGTTCGCAAAAACTTATGCGATAGATGAGTATGCGCTATTATGTGATGCAGACTGCGTTACCTAAATGTTCGGATTGCTATGTGTCAACCGGACTAAAAATGGATCCTAGTCGGGACTAAGTAAAAGCGATGATTTATTAAAGTCGGCGAAGTTCCGGGGGCAGAATACGGAGGAACATACCGAGTACTGCGTGGGTCACATTTAACTGTGAAGACTGGTTGCAGCTAGGAAAAATTCGGTGAAACTTTGCAGCGTTGCTGCAAATTAGCCGTAATCAAAGTAAATGCGACGGTCGCCGCAACATCATGAAGTTCTGTAAAGCTGTTTCAGTCTATCGGAAGTTTACAGCCGTGTATATTTTCTTAAATATTACGTAGGAACCTTACAAACGTAATTTTACGAGTCGTAAAATAAAGGGAAAAAATCCTACAGGGCATCACAATCTCTACACTACGTCCACACAACAGGTGATCGCCGGATTATGGCGCCACATGGTAACTGCATCGGTGACTTCAAGATAGAGATTTCAGCTGGTATCCTGGAAGTCTGCCTGATGGGTGCAACCTAGTACGAAATCGGTCGTATAACTGTGATTGCGTTGCTTGGTTATTCGCCCCCATAAACTGATTTACCAAGCGACTTGAATTTGACCAAATAAAATTCGAGGACATTCCAAACCACAAGTTGTGTGAATGGAATGCGGCACAAGATGTCAGTCTGGATCGAGAGTCACTTTAAAGTGAATTGAGGCCGTATCCGAAGCAGACAAGTCTTAGAGGTTTCGGACTCGGAACCCGTATTCCACAACCAGGTCCCGTATTTCCGTCGCACAAATAACTTGGAGATGGCAGAACCCGTACCCAGAAAGTAAAGGCTATACACCAAGGGATCCTCTAATTGGCCATTGATCGTTGTGACCAATGTGACCCGCAGATGTGTTGAGTAGGATTAAACGCTTCAGGCGATAACATCCACGCCACGTATTTCAGTCTAAAGCCAGACTTCTCTAGTGGATGATCAAGAACATGTACAAAGCCGTTGGTTGTGGAGTACAGCGTTGGGAGTCTGCGGAAGTTAAGACTTACAGGTTGGAACCGATCGACTTTAGCGTCGTAGGTACATCGCCGTCGTGTACTGCAAAATGTGTCCAAGAAAATCGCATGACGTTCACGTTGTTGGCGAACGTTCGCTTGCTTGTTTTGCCTATTCCATGATTGGCGGCGTCCGTGTCCGTATTTGACTGTCACTGCAGCCTCCACGGGGACAGCCAAAGGATGTTTGTGTCTACAAAGGGACCATGAGTGCCTAGCGCTGCACTACCCACAGCTCAAACCACACACCCCATTTCCCGGGTGAATCCGAAGGAATAAGATCGGGAGGCATGTGCATGGGACCCAGGTTTCATCAACGTAGCCAGCGCACACTCCTTCACCGGCAAAAACAGGCACGCTGCATCTAGGGAATCAAGCGCACATAAGGTGATGGGTGAACCGTAGTCCGCTCCACACACAACCCATGTGCATAGAACCACTCTTCGTGCATAACACGGTCACAAGGACCATGCACCCCATCCCCTGCAGCAACGACCGACTGTCTCCTGGAGCTAGTATAGACAATGTGATGGGTACAAGACAGATGGGCATCTTGTTAACATGCACATCATACACACCGAGGATGTCAAGCAGCAGTCAAACAGTCGGAAGAAGGAGATCAAATAAAATAAGGCGGATAATGCAAACGGACATGCCGACTTAACTCTTCACTAATCATGAAATAAACTCGTTAGCAAGATATTGGTGATACACTCGAGATGGGAAAAGCAGAGAGCAAAGAGAGAAAAAAATGAAAGAAATTAACCATTTTTCATTTAAGCGACATGTGTAATTAGGTAGAGGATTGTTTCTCTAAATCTTAAATGAGGTAACGAAGGGAGTATTAACAAATACAGCAAACCGATCCCCTGAAATAAAGAAATTCAGCATGCAAGCACGCGGTTAGGAAATCGAATGCAGCGTATCTACAAACGCCGCGCCGGCTCTACTTAGGTCTCATCAACATCCGTCGTATTAACGATGTTGGTCCCGAGTGGCCTCGCTCGTGCCACCCTAAGCTTGCTGACTCAGTCGCTCGACACCGAATGTGCTACAGCACCATGTGCTCGATGTCTATAGAGTACAACCCATCGGCGCCTGTCACTGCCACAGCTGCCGCTTCTTCTCTGCATGCAGGAAGGATTTCATTTGCACTTTGACAACTTCCTTCATGATCAGGTCGCGCCATGCACCCCGATAACCGCCTTCAAATCTCAATACCTAAAATCAACATTCGAACGTGAGGGGCTTACTTTGATCATGTCTTGGTAACGGCACTTCCGTTGTCCCGCATGCCGCTTCTCAGCACACAGCAGACCATACAACAGCTGTTTCGGCAACTGTATAATCCATACGCCACACATGACCGAGCCTCCTCAAGTGTCTCAGCAAAAGTATGCAATCCACTGTATACAATCAGCTTCGGCGCAGCACCGTATCTACAACTCTGTCGCACCAACCAATCCGCAGAATCCGTTGCAGACACCAATGATGAAACCGCGCAAGATATTGCATATCTCGCAGGTACCTCATCAACGTCTCGCCGCGTATGAAAGAAGGGAAAGCAATATGGATTTGTACACAATAACCTAGGTGCCAACGGTAAGCGGATGGTTGTTTCACATTCAGAACTCAAGCTTTCCGAATGCCGCCGCTCCCTTCGATACGCGGATACGCAGCTCACAGTGTATCTGCAGCTTAGTCGACATCACACTCACAACGTAGCAGCGAGATGTGGTTTCCAAAATTTAGGCACTCATGCTGATTTGTTGCAACGTTGCAGAATGCACCTCCGGTAAAAGCTTAAATAGACAGACAATTTTGCATGTGGTGAGCCCGCATTTGGCCACGGTCGAAGCCAGCGCACTAATCATGTGTTGCAAATCATCCGCGCTGTGTGCAAATAAATCAAAATCGTCAGTGAACAGCAAGGTGGTATCAGTAGAAATACGTCACATTATCCCACATCCACATGCTAACATCCTTAACGCAATCCCTTATATCCTTAACGCAATCACTTACATCCTTAGTACAGAAGCTATCAATCTTAGTGCAGAAGCTGTCCTCCTTAACGCAAAGGCTATCATCCGATAATCATCCATGTAGCATCCACGTAACACTGCGTGGGCAGAGGCTACCAGCCAATAGAATTCGATATAGCGTAGCGACTGGAAACAGTTACGCGCAGAATACTCACGCTTTCGGAGCTGGGTAGGAAAACTGTGAGACTTGGGTGACTAGCGTGGTCCAACTCAAATGAACGGCAATTGAGACCTTAGTAAACGGAGCTCAGGCGGTGCACAGTGCGCCGCGCACCCTCACTGGACAATGGTGGTGTCTGAGACATCCATTAGAGCGCACAGTCCCTGAGGAAAGGGAAACGCGTGCGCTCAGAGCACCCGGTATAAGCCTGAAGTGGAGTCAAGCCCCTTTTGTAAGTGAGCAAAGGAGATGTCTGAGGCTAGGGGGCAAATGATGCACGCAGGACAACAGTGAACAACGTTGGCTTGGTACTAAAAAGGTGCTCTGAACAAGTGGCGCAGATAGGTTGTCTCGTTTTGGTGGGTATTCAGGCTAGTTCGGTCGGAGAGTGGAAGACGCAGTATAAGTTACCGTTTGACCTCGAAGTCAAGTTGTCCGTAACATAAGGAGCGGAACGCTCTCCGTCACAGCAGAATGGATACCAATCACTACACGTAACTTCTTTATTTATGCG